AATTAAAAGTTTAAGAATTAAAGATGGATATAAACTCTGAGGTAGATTCAAAGGCGGTGAAAGGAAGAACCTTGGATTACAATAAGGTTCCGGGAAAATAGGAAGAAGAAGAAGAACCCTAATCATGCTATTAGGGTTTAGTTTTGAGCAATTACTATTGATCGGTAGGAGCTGTTGAATTCGATAGAATTAGAATTGTGAAATGGGAGGCGAAGATTCTGACCGGAACAAGAATGGCCAATGGTCGTCGCCGAGCAAGCCCTCACGAGGGAAAGAAGATGAACCCAAGCTTTGGGGAATCCTCCTCTTCGGTCTGATTGGCGCCACTGCCACCACTTTCGCAGTAAGTCATTCCCTTTTCGTCTTAATGTCCCCCTTCCTGCTCTATGTGATTGATTTTGTAATTTAATTTTTGTGGAAGAGGAGACATAAATTTTTTTTAAAGATTAAAGCTTTCTATGCTGAATGTCATAAATTGGATAGCAATTAGCAGCCATCATGGGTTTGACTCTATTTGGCATTTGCAATTTGGCAGGTGGGGCAGCTTAGGAGGACGGTTGATTGGTTCTACACTCAGGTATGTGCATATATAAGTTAGTAATAAGCTTTTTTGTCTTTCTTTGTGATTGAGCATCCTTAAAATTTCTGTGCTTCAACATGATGAATGGTTTTGTTTAATAGAAATCCTTTTTTAACGTTATAGGTGAAAGCTCTTTGTTTGTAGTAAAGAGTTTTGTTAATTGTGAATGCTTGCCATTGCTTTTAATATCATTATTGCATGCTCCCTGAGCTCCCGCTTTGTGAAAAGTTACTTTTTTTTGCAACAACAGAACTTAGATTCATAGTTTGTGTTTTGCAGAAAAAGTACTGCTCACGTGATGCTCTGCTATTTTGTGAAATCAAGAAAAATTAATGGATATTAAGAAAGATGGGAGTGTGTCAATCTGATCGTGTTTGTACTTGTACTGTAAAAGTTTACCAGGTCACAATCATCGTGGAAAAGTGGTACTGGAAGTTCCTTCAGAACATCCTTTCAGGAGGAAGCTTGGAGAAGGAATAACCGAAGGATGCAAGAGGAATATGAGGAAGAAATGGAGAGAGTGGTGAGTTCTTATTCTCTTAAGCTATTCTATGTATGCTATTCAATTCCTTCAACCACTAAAACTTCTCTGTAGTTGCTTCATATTCCTCTAAGAATCATGAAACATGTTAGGAAATTGTACTACATTGTTGGTGTAGTTAATTGGCCTTAATATTAGGTAATTGATCAATGAGTTTGCTATGGCCCAGTTTTCTTTTATGCTGCCTGGTTTTATGTTATCAAGCGAATCATGCTGGATGTGAATGTGAATGCAAAGTTGGGTCATGATGAAACCATTTCTATACTGTACCATCTATGCTATGTTTTTACTGCCATTTGTAGGAACGTATAAGACGTATGCAAAGTGTGTTCAACAGAGAGAGAAATAAATACAGAAGGGGCTATGAGAGTTGGAGGGAAAATGATCCTGGTGCTTATCATCAGCACTTTCAGCGGGATGATTGGTATTGGAAAGCAGACACATCTTATAGAAATCAGAGGACTAACTACAGACCACCTCGAAGGGATGGTGCAAGCTATCCATTATCGCATCACTACTCTGTTTTGGGTCTTGATAGGTAATGGTATTGTCATAGTTATCAGATTTTAAAGTATTTATCTATGTCAATCTCATTAGAGAATTGAACACATCCTGTCAAATGAACAGGAGAAATTCAAATAGTTTCACTTCAGTAAGCCAGATGATGGTTACTTTTCTGAATGTTCTATTGTTTTGCAAGGATCCATGAAAACCCTGTGACAGCTTTGTCCTATATCTGTTGTACGTCACTTTCAATTATTTCCATGGCACGCTGGCTACTGATTCACTTGCTTCAGTTCTATTGCCACTTATAGTTATGCCTAGTTTTCTTCTCTGATCATTGCCAATAATGTTATGCTTCAGTTTCACTTGCTTATTATTATTATTATTATTATTATTTCTCTTTTGGGGTACATGACATGTATTAAATTTTGTTTTGTTTGCACATTATTACCAGTGATGATTGACTTTTTCTGACAACTTCTATGCAGGTCCAGATCAACCCCATATACAGAAGATGAGATTAAGGTATGATCTAGCATCTATACAATGCTTTCATATATATCAATCAAGAGATTGAGTAATTCAGATTATTGTGTTTTCTTCTTCCTGCCAATGGTTCTCATGTCATGTCTGTGACATTCCTCTATATACCTGCAGACAGCATTCAGGGCTAAAGCAAAGGAGTTCCACCCAGATCAAAACCAGGATAATAAAGGTGATATGCAGTTGGCAGTTTTTACTAATAAATTTTCATTGATGACATTGCTTTCAATTGCGCACTCTGAAGTTTATCCGTTTGTTTGTTGCAGAAGTTGCTGAGGCAAAATTTAAAGAGGTGATGATCTCCTACGAGGCTATAAAGCAAGAAAGGAAGAATATGAAGGCATAAAAACCACATTTAGTCAACAGAAGATTGTGGAAGAGGTTGCTGAAATTGAACAAATAAAGCTCCAATTAAAAGGTCCCATCCCATGCTATTCAAGCCATGATTTTACCGGTTTCTTTTCTATGGTAGTCACCGAGAGTGATGATTTTGCCTACAAAAAATCCGGGAATCATCCGTGTCTGACACTGATGTTGTAGTTGCTAGGCTATTACTTGGGGGATGATTAGTATTTTTTGGGTATGCATACTGTGAGGGCTATAATGTATTTAGATAGAATGCTTGCGCAGCTCTTGAACAAACTTTCTTAAATCATGTAGAAAGGATTAATGATATCTACCTTTATATGTTTCATTCTTATCATAATCAGAAACAAGGTTTGATGAACGGCTTGAAATATCACCTCTGAAAAGGTAATGCTTATTGCTAGCGAGAAATAATTGTACAAAAGAAAACTTACAACCTATGAGCGGGTGGATGAGTTGGTTGGGACTCTTTCAGCTTAACCAGAGATTTTGAGTTCAAGTCTTGGGAATGCAACTCTGTTAAAACTCATGAGGGAGAGTTTTGTCGCTCGTTGGGTTCTACTTGAATCGAATTCAAATTAGTCGGTGGCCCAGTGGGTTTCTGGATACCGGATGGTCCATACCAAAAAAACAAAAGAAAACTTGCAACCTATGAGCGGGTGAATGAGTTGGCTGGGACTCTTTCAGCTTAACCAGAGGTTTTTAGTTCAAGTCTTGGGAATGCAGCTCTGTTAAAACTCATAAGGAAGAGCTTTGCCGCTCGTTGGGTTCTACCCGAATCGAATTCGAATTAGTCGGTGGCCCAATGGATTTCTGGATACCAGATGGTCTATACCAAAAAAACAAAAGAAAACTTGCATGCCTGTCTCTATTTACCGTTTCAATGCATAGTAGGATAAGTTGAACCATAAATTAATTAAAAGTGATATAAGGCAATAAAAGACCTGTAATTTAGTCAGAACCAAATCTTGAAACCAACGAATCCTAACAATGCCAGAAAAGTTGCTTTCCATAATTCCATTTGCAAGAACGGAGTCCCTAGGGACCAAAATGTTGGATAATGCTGTTAATGCACATTTATTCCTTCCAATAGTATAAAGGATGCAGATGACAATACAGACTATCTTATCAGATGACAATACAGACTATCTTATCTATTCTGATTTGCTGAATAAGATACAAACTACTAGCTTCTTGACACAGAACTTGAACATCTAAGGTATCTTAAGTTTTACACCCCTTTTCGATCTTGATCTCGTATTCTCATTTGACAGGAGGAACCCTGTAATATGCTGGAACAGTTGCTGGAAAAAACATTTGCCTGACTCCTTCAGTCTTGATAATTGGAAAGATGATTCCTGATGCACCCTGCAACAGGATAACGTAATATTTTAAGTAAATTAAACTTCTATTACCGTATGAAAAATGTAATAATTAGATGACGATATTAGGTGCAGCTGAAAAGGGAAGTGAGAAGGGCAGATTCTCACAGAAATCAATCTAGCTCCAATCCACAGTCGCTTAGGTGAAGGGAAAGGTAGTAACAAACGACCAACACCATATACTGCCACAGCAAAGAAATGTAGAACCAAGCTCAAGGGGCGTGGGTTCAAACCAGAGAGCAGAGAGACAGGGCCATTTGAAAATGCACCCCCAAGGCTTAGATAATCGAAGCAAGCTTGGCGCATTTCCTTTCTCGCTTGATCAGGTGAAGCACAGAAAACCTTATACAAGGCACCTGCCAATGTATTAATTGTGGATGCGACAGGCTGCAGAAAGAAATATTGAGATGCTTAGTTCGCTGAATAAACCCTGAATTATATCAATTGTGATACAGACAGTTCCTTTTTAAATATTGAATTTAGCATTTTATTCATCATGTCAGAGCATCAATTACCAGCATATTAACATAGCTTACCTTACGCAAGGTGTAAAAAGATTCAAGATATCTGCAAAGCGTGGGTGCATCATTGAGGTCATGGAGAGGCCTGAGAAGATCCCGTAGGAGAACAATATCAGACAGTGCCACAGTCATTCCACCTCCAGTTAAAGGATGGCGCATATTAAATGCATCCCCCATTAATAAGGCTCCAGGAGTAGGATATGGAGCAGCTGGCATGCTCCTATTTGGCATTGTCCTTATATTTCCCTTGTCAACTGCAGCAACAAATGAATCATAGATTTCTGGGGGAACCTATAACATGCACAGCACAATGGTCATTCTCAGGGGATCATTAAAGATAAGAAATATACAAAACACCAATGAATAAGTAAAGAAAAATGAAAATAAATAAAGGCAAATAAGTAGGCCTTTTTCTTTGGCTGAAAGAAATAAGGAGCTCAATTAATATACCTGAGGAGCTACCACAGTTTTCAAATAGCTTGCCATCTCACCAGTTGCAATAGAAGGAACCTTCTGACCAGGCACATCAACCAGACAGCGAACTTCTGTGCTACTGATAGGATAGAACAAAATGGGGGATGGATCTGCTAGTATAACATGCCCATGATTTATGTACGGCAGTTCGCAGTTCTCGAGGACCAAACCAACAAAACAAGAGGGCACATCTACCTGCAAATGACAACACAGATATTTTCATTGCATTCAATCTACTTGTCTCTTATGGACAAAATGATGAGAATGTACATTTTTTAGTTTCATTCAAAGCCTGCTTTAAAGACTAACAGAAAACAAAATTTAATAATATGGAACTCTAATTTAATTAACCAACAAGTTGGAGGGTCAAACCTGAGGGTTGCAAAGGGAGCGACGCAAGTTTGAAAAACAGCCATCGCAAACAATGGTCAAAGGTGCAAACGCTGTTAATTCTTCACCATCCTTTGTTTTGTACTGCACTCCTTTAATTGTCCCTTTTTCTTCAAGAAGAGTAGTAGCCGTCCCTTGCTCCAATAGAACACTGGCAATTTTTTTTTTTTAAAGGAATAAATACTTTGAGACTAACCCTACACTGGATGGTAACATATCCTGATGCTAGAGCATAATCATGTGGACACTATTTTGTACCAAAAATGAAATGGTAACTGTGCCAGAAGAATGTCTAATTAGTTCCAACTTTCCAACATCCATTCGTATTCTAAAATAACAAAGAAGCATGGAACTTGCACCATACTGTTCACTTCTAAATGCAAAATGCAGCAAACAAAAATGAGAGCATGAAATATGATACATGATTAGAACAAAAGGAGGGAAAGACATACTTGGGAAGAGAAGCTGCTTTCTCCCGCATCCTCTGTATGAAACGGCCATTATGAAAGCTCCTACCAGAGACGTTTGAATCAAAATTTTCCAAGGGATACGGCAGATGGGTATGTTTCCCATCTTTGAAAAGAGCATAACCATAAACCCTCTGAGCATCAATTTTCTCCACACAATCTGCAGCGAGAAAAATACATTGTTCATCAACTTTGTTTTACTATATTTGAAAGTGTGAAATAAAATGATCAAATAAAAATTAGCGACTCATTCTCAAAGAGGGATTGAAACATGATAAATTTTGCATGTGGTAAACGAATTTGAATGTCACCAACCTTCAAGTCCTAACTCAATTAGTTTAAGATAACCCCCTGGTTGTAGCAATTCCCCAACAATTCGGTCAGGCTCTGTCATGTCTCTTTCAATCACATGCACTCGACGTCCATCCTGCATCATTTTGTAGCACTTAATTAGCCTATGATTGAAATAACATCCAACTGGAATGGGTGGGGAAGTCAAATTAGGAACCAGATATTCTTATCAGATATGATGCAATTGTCATCAAATTTACAACCTTTCTCCTAATTTGTGTGAAAAATTAAATCCAAAAAATAAAGGGTAAGAGAGAAAGCTGCTACAGTTGCAAAAGAAAAAACTTATACATGATAGTGACAGAAAAACTAGTCTTTATCAGCTAAAATTTCATATCCGCCCTAACATTTAGTAAGTGCCAGTACATTTTTTTTGTTTGAACAATCATGTAAGTTTCAGTACTTTTTTTCTTTTGATTTGAGCAATCGTGAAAAATGTGTTCACATCATTTTTTTTAATATATTATAATTATTTATAAATTAATTGTCAACCGGACCTATGGTCCAATTGGTTGGCCCTCAAGTTTTAAGGTTTGGGTGAGGCGGATGTTAGGGTTTCGAACTCTGTCACCGCCGTGAACTCCACTAACTTGCGACCTAATGGTCGCGCGCCTCATATGAGGGGGTAGAACGTTCACTATCCTGGAAAAATTTCAGCTGCTAACAAATTAATTCTACTAATTTCCTAACCATCTACTTGGTCAAAAAAAAAATTTATAAATTAATTAAAAAATTAAAAAAAATAATTTTTATGAATTCAAACATACCACTCACAAAACGTACAACTCACAGAAAATGTCGGTACTAATTTATTTAGTTGATGTTAAAAAAATACATCTAAAAAGTAAATTATAAAGAGACAAAGGAAAATAACACTGTAGCTACAAAAATTATGCATCGTGTAAACATCAGCAACCAACCATCACAAAATAATTTTCTTGTAACATAGAAAGAAATATAAAACTTGTTCTAAGGAATCTACAACTCTTAAATCCTAATTTTAAGATCATCTGGAATTTTAGCCAATATTATCATATAGATGCTTGACCCCCCGCCCCACTTCCCTCCAACATACTCAAAAGAATCAACACCGGAAATTTTATTTGGAAGATACAAATTGAAAATTCTTGATTCTGTAGGTTCTTTAAAAAGTCCACAAATTTATGAAACAAAAAGGAGATTCCCAAAAGAGCATAAAAAGTAAAATAAAATAAAATAAAAACCATAAAAGGGGCAACAGTGTACAGAAATTTAAAACAGAATTAATTGCACGCGGTGGAAAAGCAGTAGGTACAACCCTATGCAACACGATATACGAAGAAATTTTCACAGAATCCTGTTCCAGAAAACGAAATAAATGAAAGGAAAAAAGAATCTTTCACCATTACAAGAATACAGGTTCGTCTTTGCCCTGTAACTAGCTCAAGCAATTTTAAACATTTCGTTCAAAGATTTTCTATTTGATCCCTGGGAGAATTAAAAAGTGAAATTAGAGACTAACAACTACCTTTCCAAGGGTGTGAGCCAGAGCAGCGCCTGCGACGCCAGCTCCTACAATGATAACGTCAACGTCACCGTTTCCGGATCTACATTTCCCGTTAACTGCAGATACACTCTTCACGCACTCGCTCCTCCCCGAAATTCCATCTCTCTTCCGTTTCCGAACCGCCATCGTGAACAACGCGCCGAGCGCCAGCAATGAGCCCAAGATCCATCCCGAAACGTACTGATCCGCCATTTCTCCTCGACTTCAAATCACCGGAGATGCGGAGATGGGAGTCTGTCTTCCGTTTTCTTCCTTCTTCCGGCCGATTTGGCTTTATAGCTTAGTTCGTTTGGATGTGTGATTCTTCGCTGGCTGCGCTTTTTATGAACGTTTTTAACTGATGAAAAAGCTCAGAGGAGGCGTCCGGTTTTATAGGGGTGGCAACTGTAAAGCTGCGGAACTCGGTAAGGTACACGTCATTACCGCAGTTTTTGTGTTTACGCCTCCTTGCTAACTTACGCAACCTGTGCTTTTGGCCTTAAGGTTGCCACCGCAATTTTTAACTCATGCGGATTTTTTTTTGTTCTCTTTAAAAAAATAATAATAATAA